TTACAGGCAATCATAAGATCGGGGTCACCACAGCGTCAGACCTTTTCCCAGATACTCAGTATCTGAGTGGTCATTTCCATGAGTCTTAGCCTGGTGGCGTCTTCCCTACTTAAAGCCCGAACAAACGGCAATCGGCATAGGTCATGGGAGCAAAAATTACTCCAGCAGCTACTTCGTGGTTATACGTGCACAAGAACACTGGCGTTTCTCGAAGTGACGCAGTTAGTGTCCAGAATCGCTAGTTTTTTCATCCTCAAAGGATTGGAACTGCTCTCTTAATAGAATTGCTTATTTTGATACTATCACCAAAGGCTCAAATCTCTGCTGCTAGGTTCGTCTGTAATTTGCTGGGAATTTCCTAATTATAGCACTCCTTATCAAAATGACTAGAAAAATTATTGAGCGTGCCTGGACACATCATGAACTTTAGGTTTTTCGTTGGAACCAGGTTCAACCACTAGTCTACTGAAAAGGACCAGTTTATGAGATCAAGTTTGCAGTAATCAAATGCTTGCTCAAACCAGTTGCCAAAATGTACAAAATATCGGGTTTTAAACCTCCAGTACTAAAAACAATGCGTCGGATCAATGAATGAAACATTGATTCGGTATTCTCAAAGACATACCATTTCCAAATTGAACTTCACAACGGGAAACAGCAATTCACATCGTGTCCATATCCAACCCATATAGTTTTCTGACGCGGGTTCAGTTCTAATTAAATGAAGTGTGGGCATTAGCAAGTAAACGCATAATCGTTTGCTGCAATTTCGAAAATCATTAAGTCTCAATTGATAGGGTGTCTCGAATGAAAAAACACCCGTTTCTTAAAATCGTACACGATAGGGAAAATAGCCTAATGTTTTAACATCTGCAACTCTGCTTTGACTAATTTTCATGCAGACAAGTTACGAATTTTGTCAAAATACAGACAAAACAGTCTCGGTAGATTTAACAGAATTTGCCAGTGGAGTAAAAAGATACGGTCTCCCAACCGGATCTGAGCTATTGTAGTTGCTCAGTTTGGCGATATGGAGTTGTTCAATTTACAATGGTGGTATTTTTTACTTGATTGGATACAAAAAAAAGATTTTGGGCTTGCCGATCTTATGTCTTGAAAATCGAAGCAATTCCTTTCTCGCAGTAGCCACGGGTGCAAAATTTGGGTAAAAAGGCAGAACTCACTCAGGATGAATAGGATCGCGATCGGTTGACGCAGGATAAGGAGCATCAGGATGAATGATAACTAACGAAGGATGGTGCTGGTGGTCATCCTTGGAATTGTCAGAGCCATCAGTTTGAGGTTTTATCTCAAACAGCTTCCGAAGGTTATCGTAAACAGACGTCCGATTGAAGACGTGCAAGTCGAGTCCGTACAGATGGATATAAAGCCGGCGTTTGGATAAATCTAAAATGGTGGTAGGGTACGGACGAAAATCGTATCGCCACACTTCGCAACAATTTTCAGACATATGTTAGCCAGTTGGATACAATCGAAAGCACAATGCGACTCGCTATATAAACAAGGTTGGCAAAAACACGGATAAGAAAAGAAACGCTAGTTATAAATGCTTCGCAAAAACGGAAAGATATATGCGAGAAAAGCGGTAAAAAGGAACAGACACAGTGAAAACAGACAAATGGTTTCTCATTAGGAGGGATAGAGCGAATTCAGCTGCACTATATTGCGGACCAAATCACCAAAGTTATCACGATAGTGAATGTGATAAAAACTTCTCGGTTGAGAGGACGAAATCCGATATCAAAAAATGCGTTAGGTACTGATGAAATGTGTTCAATAACCAAAAAATCCATGAACTAAAGGAAGAAACAAAAGCGCTTAGAAACTATAACTATTGTGATCCTGGTATATACCAGGCGAAAGGTGCATACTTGACATGAAGCACAGACTCACGTCTTGCCTGCAACTGAAACGGTTTCCAGTAATTCAACACTATGACGACGTAACAACAACGGACACTGAAATCCTCCGTAAGGTACACCAGATCACGAATCATAACTTTACCACAGACCGGAGAAATAGACAGCGAGCCTAAAAGAGTCACAAATGTGTGTTGTCTTACCTATTTTAAGAAACCCATTTTTTACGAATTTTCTGAGGACCAGTGAGGATAAAATTCCGAATAGGCGAGCATTGTAAAAAAAGACGTAGATAACCCAGGCAACAAGAGCGATCAGCGACAGTAGGGACACATGGAAACGGCCTTCGCTGATGTAAGCGCTGACCTGACGGTCTAAACTGTCGTTTGAGCGCAGTTCCAGATTCATTTCTTAAAGGTTTCCAAATACACACTACAGCAGCATCTCCACAACTTTGAAAGTTAGCTGTGACATTTAGGTTATTATAACGACACGTATTGCGGAAATTTTAAAAGTTCGTAAATTGCTTAAATAAGACCATGCGGAACAATAAAGACGCAGCATAACAATCATTCATCAAGATAAGTCCTAACTTCTGGCCATTGAATTGGAGTCTGGATCTGTCCTGATGGTTGGGACAATCGTGTGGTTAATACTGAGATGGACATCGGATGTTTTTACGAAAATTCCAGGCCTAGGTACGGGCTTTATCACGGAATACATAAGCTCTTTAGCATTCTTGCCTTTCTGCAAGCATACCCTCAGGCAAAATTGGCTTTCTAAGGCACATGCTGAAAATGTCACTTATTGCCGGCTATTTAACAGCTTTTAATTTTTATTTCCCATTTTAAAATGTTCAGGGCGATATCGTCCTTGAAGTAATGGTTTTTTATACACGCACATTCATCTCTTCAACAAGATCGACCAGCGCGGATTTTGCAGATCACCTAGTTTGCGAAGTTCCTTATGTGCCCTTTGACGGTGGTCCCTCTCCTCATGTACTTCAGTATATCTCCGTAGATTTTGGGTAATATGCAGTGTATTGGAAGGCCTCTTTGAGAACGTTCGATTGAATGCTTAAATGTAAACTGAAACGTCGCTAAAATATTGCCAGTAGCGTATGCACTTTACAGAATATTGTTGGTGAGTGTGTGGTACTGAAATCAGGGGACCCGAATTTGTGGATGAATTTGTTGAAGAATTAGGTGTATGCGGGATGTTGATTTGTATAACAATGTTGGTCTGTCCGATTAAAGGGTATTTTTCGAGTAAATATACATCCACTCCTTTTTCGACGTCCCTGTTGAATCCGTCATTGTCAGTTCCTCAAAAAGTCCAGTCCAGGCACCGACAATTCTCCGAGGTTCCGCAAATATGTCCATGTTACACTTAAAAAGTCAAGTTGGCAAACACGCGTTTTCTCTAATTCTTCGTCAGGCCAAAGCAGTCACATGAAGAAATGAAAATATATATAATTAACAGTGTTTATAGGTTTCTCAAGGGATATCAAGTCATTAACACTCATAGTTCCCACACCGGCCGCATGACAAGGTCGATAGGTTTAAGTCCTCAGAGCTAGGGAAGGGGGATAAAAGAGTCATTGAGTGATGTTCTTGGATTGAGTACACGGAGTACCCATTCCTGTAATTAGGGATTTGCGGCGGCATGGCGTCATCAATTGGGGTTGGCGTTGGCCACGGCAGAGAGAGCGCTTGTGTCAGGGTTTTCTGACGGCATAACACTGGATTCGCTAACCGTATAGCTACTGCCTCGGCCGTTGTTAGTATTCGTTGGCGTAGGCCTTTAGAGAAGCATGTTGGTGTCCGGTAGACAACCTAAAATACCTCCTTGGCATCGACTCGGTTATTCGTATCGATTAAATGTGCGAGAATAGAACTCGAAATCGATCGTGTCCCATCTCTGTCTAGGCAGGCGGACATATGTTCACGTACCCTCCTTACCAGGCGTCTCGTTATGCGGCCGATGTATCCCGCTCAACAGGAGCAAGTGAATGAGTAGATGCACATTGATGTGGCCTCCAACGGTAGTCTGTCTTTGTCTCCCAAACGTACGAGGAGAGGGTTGGTGATACCTACGCGTAAATTCGCCGCGGGGAATGCCCTCGTGATAGCTGTAGTTAAGCGCCGTATGACTAGTTCGGTCACTGCGTCTCCTGCAAAAGGCAGTCTTAGGAATACCTCTTTCTTTTCCGCAGTCGCGACAGTGGGCTTTGCGGCGCGTTCCTCAATATTTCGGAGGATAAATCGATCTGGGTATCCATTCTCCCGAAGTGTGTTCCGCAGCTGTTGAAGTTCTTCTTCAATAGCTTCAGGCGGGCAGATGCGTCTTACTCTAGCCACCAATCCCTGGACTAAATTTTGTTCGGTGTTAAGGGGAACAAAATTGCGGAAATTAACACATTGTCCCGTCCAGGTTTTCATTCGGAACACCCTGCGCTGGATAGACTCACCCTCATGCCTGTGTAGGAGGACATCAAGAAAATCAATTTCGTTATCTGCCTCGGCCTCTGCTGTGAACTTTAGCGAGCAGTACGCACTGTTGAACTTTTGGAAAGGTTCTCGGTATCGGTGGTACTATCCGCTAGGCAGAAGATATCGTCCCCGTACCGACCGTAGAAGACGAGGCCAATAATGGTGTTTTGCAATCTTGTTTTCTCGACTTTGCCCATAGAAACTTTTGCAAGGAACGTTCCCAGCGGTGGCCCATTGCTACACCACCTACCTGCCTGTATAGTTGACCATTGCATAGGAACTGGACATTTTGTGTGCAAAGCGTCAGTAGTTCTTTTGGCGTTTTCACAGGCATGTCTATGGGATAGTTCGTATCACAAATTACATCACAAAGATAGTTTATTGTTTCTGCCACGGGTACGTTGGTAAACAGCGATGATACATCCAGTGATAACATCCTCCGTCCGCCAACGTTCATATTTTTGATAGCTTCGACGAACTCAAAGGCGTCTTTTAAACTTCGAGGGTATAGGTAACTTTGCAATGGCTTTAGTCTTTCCACTAGCCATTTTGCAACGGTATGATAGGGCGAATTCCTCATATCCAAGATTGGACGTAGAGGCAGCCCTTGTTTGTGAATTTTAGGAAGGCCATACATTCTTCGTATTGTCGATCCCACTGGTCTCAGTCGTTTGTACTCTTTGCTACACAAATGGCCTTCTTCGCAGAAATCTTTGAGAATAGTCGTCAAATGACCCTCGGCAGCCTCCGTGCGATCGTTATTTTTCTCGGATTTTGAGAACGTGGAACGATCCGACAGTATTTCCTTTAGTTTCGCCACATAATCCGTTCTATCCATCAGCACTACTCCTGAACATTTATCCGGTCTAGTAAGCACAATGTTTTTGTTTTTACGAAGCTCCCTAAGGCTATCGATATGGGCCCTTGTCAAGGGACCCTTGTTTCGTGGGGCTTTCCTTAGATACTGTTGTAGCAGTTAATCACAGTCGACTTAAGACAACCAACTTCTCTAGCTTCGGTAGGTTTTAAATCTATAGTCTGACTAAAGAGACTCTCAAATTAGATTTCTAGCTCAAAGTATTTTGGCAGAACCGTTGGAGCCGAGTGCCTACGAGCATTTAGGTGGGATCGAACTCTACAAAGTTTGGGGGGGGAGGGACGGGGTTCTCACTCAGGTTTAATGGTGTGGCCAAGGAGAAGAAATTATCGAAATGCAGGGAACACTCCCGGTTCCTCACAATCCGGCTGGTCCGTAAGAGATCTCATGGATTCGCCTGTACTCAAGAAGAAATAGGTTTTGCTTATCACATCTGCATCTGTTAAGTAAACTTTTGTGGTCTTTTGTAATTTTGTCGCCCTCATTTGAACCCTTTTCAACAACTTATAACCCTTTGTAAGTCAGAGGCACCACGCTTTAGTGCCATATTCCGGTTGCGAACGAATAAAAGTTCCGCGTAGTTTAACAAACAGCGCCGAATCTGTATCTATGGAAGTTCTTTTATTGGCAGAGAGGACACTGATTACCCGTTTGGTCACCCTAACGCATTGAGAGGAGGGCTTCAGAGACGGCAGGATATTGATCCTATGGCCATTTGGTTCGGTTACATTTGATATGCACCTTCGGTCAAGGAAGCATTGAGGGTCATCTCAATTTGCTCACTACTCCCTCATTTTGAGTTGCAGTTTAACCTTTTTCTCAAGACTAAACTCGAACAACTCTTTAGCGAATCATTTACATAGACTCTTAATTCCTTCTTTGATCTTCCGTTCATCATTCTCACAGCCGATCGCTCGCCACACTTTGATGTCATTAGCAAACATGATTCCTTTGCCGTCCAGTCCATGCATGCGGTCATTGACATAAATTAAAACAGAAGTTGCCCGTACACAGAGTCCTGAGGTGTCCTGCTCACAACTGGCACTTGCGTTGATTTCGGACTACAATGCATACAAACTGCGATCGACCGACCAAGAAGTTTTCTACCTAGTTTAGTACGTTTCCAAATATTGCGGGTTCTCCGACCTTGTAAAAAACCAACGGTGTGGAATACTGTCAAAGGCTTTCTAGAAGTCGATGTAAAAAAAGAAATCGGCCCTTTTGTCTTCATTTAATGACCTGGGTTGCTGCTCCATTGAACAGAGCATATGGGTTAAACTGGAGTGGTTTCGCGGAAAGCTATGTTGGGCACTATCAAAGAGGTCCTTTTCTTCGAGGAACTCCATATTGGCCTTTTTGCTTATTATTATTATTTGTATTAAAGGCCCGTCGGGGTCCCATAACTTTGCAACGGATGTATAACAGGCTCACCGGCAATTTTTTGAAGAAAATAACATCTTACAGTATTTAGCACGGCTTCCAGAGAGGACGGCCCTGCCCCTCAAATCTGCTGATATGTATGGAGGTCTGGACCAAAGCTTAGAAGAGGACGTCGAGGTCGATGCCGTGTACATCGATTCCCACAAAGGGTTCGACAATGTCCCGCAACAACGCTTTCCTCAAAAATTGAGCGCCTTCAGCATCCGGAGAGATCCTCTCATTTGGATAAGGACGTTTCTGGTTAATCGAAAACAGCGTGCCTGTATCGGAGATTATATGTCAGTCTGGGGGAGCGTGACTAGCGGTATGCCCCAAGGTTTGGCTTACG